TTCCATTCCCTTCGCGGCAGAGCATTTACCACTGCAGGGTGCGCAGGAAAGCTGCCTCCATCCTCAAAGATCCAACCCACCCCAAGCATGGACTGTTCGCCTCCCTACCCTCTGGCCGGAGGTTCAGAAGTGTGAAATGCAGGACCACTAGACTGAAAAACTCTTTCTTTCCCTCTGCCATCAGACTCCTAAACAGCTGAGGAGTTTATTACCAGGTTCATTCATAGCCTCCTCCTTTAACCATGATGACTAAAGTGTGGGTGTCAAGGTGAGCAGTTGTTTGCATATCTCCTGTCTCTCCACGGTTACATATTGTGCTATATTCACTAAGCCACGCTTTCTTTTGAGCAAGGCAATTGATAATCAATCTGTCAAGTGCACAGACAAAACACAAATTCCATGTGAAATAACTAAAAGAGATCTAACTTTGGCAGAAACTAGTGCATCTGTGCAAGACCCCATTGTCCATTATGAACTGCTGATTGAGAAAACAGGTATTTTGAGGGCCTTTAATGTTTTTATATGTGTTTATAGTCATATAAGTAAAAGTGCCTTGTATTTAACTGAAACAATGTCTCCTTTAAAATGAATTCTTGAGGAAAGATGTGTAACATGCAAAGGCACTTGTGGGCTACAAAAGATCCCATCATAGCAGGAAAATTACATACTGCCTGCCAAATTAAGCAAACACTGATGCAACACATCTGTTTAGACCATTTATTTTGCTCCATAAACACTTTGACATTTTAAACTTTTGCTTATATGAACACTGCTGAGGAATCTTTCAATCACAAATTCACAGAGTAGTGCTGACTGTCCAAGGTCAGGCACATACTATATATTGTGCATCATTTGAAAGATGCACAATATGTACATTGTATTATTTGTACAAATATCATGCTGAAATTCTATATAATAGTGGTAAATTACAGAATGACTTTGGCTTTATTGAAAGCAAAACAGCAATTTATTCTGGAGAAATGTTCAGGACTGTCCGGATGCTGTGGAACAAAAAAAAGAAAAGAAGAACTCAGCAGATATGAACTATTTTAATAATGCATCAATGTTGTTGAATCATTAATAATGAAGAAAGTAGAAGTGTAAAGCTACCATTTGCTGTGCTTCATCAGTTCAATGGCATCATTAATCTGGTCCAAAGTCATGTTGTGAGTGATAAACTCATCCACCTTCACCTTCTTGTCCAGGTAGGCTTTAACCATCTCAGACACACCATCCTTGCTCTTGAAGCCTAGGCCACAAAATAATCACAAAATAAGAGCAGAGTCTTATCTAGAATACAACTAGCTAAAGAAGTGAAGAACATGTGTCCAAAGCCATTTAATTTCCGCAGATTCATTAGTCAGTGATGACTGTCATAGTTTCACCTCCAAATATGGAGCCCTTCCATGTGCGTCCAGCGATGAGTTGAACGGGCCGGGTAGCAACATCATGCAGCTCTGTCCAGCCAACTATCACACTGACACCCCAAGCCTGTATACAAGACTCCAAGGCACTGCGCTAGATTGAGAAATGAGTCAATGTCAATGAATGGTTCAAAAGGCTGAGTGGCTGATAAAAAGTGGGTTTTAAATGTTAGACACAATTCTTTTTGGGAAAGAAACAACACAAAGTCAGTGAGCTTGTAACAGAAGGATGTAGGTCCAAAAGCCTGGACTGGCTAAAGAAATGATGGCAGTAAAACTGCTAGAAAGGAGCACACAAGCTCAGTTGACTTTGATTAGGTTAATATTTTAATAGGCAAGATACATGTCCCGACTAAATGAAATCCACCTCACCATGACTCCCACATTCCCAGTACATTCCAGTGAGTAGTCCACTCCTCCATTGGTCATCTCTGCCAGCACTTGGCTGATGGGTTTATCATGATCCTTAGGGTTCACAAAGTCGGTCGCACCGAACACCTTGGCCTTCTCAAACTTCTCTGGATTGATGTCAACTGCAATGATCTTCTTGGCTCCTGCAGCCTTGCAGCCCATGACTGCAGCCAAACCTACAGCTCCCAGGCCAAACACAGCACATGTGGAGCCTGGTTCCACCTAAAGTGACAAAGACACCACATAGTACTTTAGGCTGGACTACTTAATACTTAATAAAAATCAATCGGGAGTTTTGTATCTCATAACACTCATGATTACTCTTTTAAGAAGCTTTCTGTTTTTGGAAATTTAATTTCTCCCTTACGTCACCAAAAGTGCCAAATTATAGGGACAGAACATAAAATGCCCCATATTGTTGTTGCAGTGTGGTATTAATCAACATACACACACCTTAGCAGTATTGACTGCTGCTCCATAACCAGTGCAAATCCCACAGCCGAGGAGACAGACTTTGTCCAGAGGGGCAGCGGGGTCGATCTTTGCCACAGCAATCTGGTTAACCACTGTGTACTCGGAGAAGGTACTGGTTCCCATAAACTGCAGCACCTTCTTCCCCTTACAGGTAAACCTGCTCTCTTTCCCATCGTGTTGAACACTGAACCTGAATGACATAAGATTTTGATTGAAAAAAATCCTAAAACAAGTATTCACTAAATACTTGCTATATGTAAACCTGGTGTCTTCCAATGCCATCACGTCATAACGATCAACAGCCCTAAACAGACAATTTATTAAAATAAAAATACATGGGTTTGTCTTATGTAATTGAAACTGCATAAACAACATGTTAGCATATTTTTATTAAATTACTATCTTGTTTGTACATATTCAGTGTTTACAGTAAGGTTTAATTAATGTTTAGTAAAGTATGGTATCAGCCACCTCTTGTGAGCTTTTATGGGGTTGAGAAAAAGGTGAAGAGAAGAAGAAAGAAAAGAAAGAAAAATGGGTAAAGCAGAAGTATAATGGCTTGACTGATCTGTGTTCAGACTTCCCTAATGTTATCAGGATAACAAATGTTGGACTGATTTATTCCATGTCACACAGCCCACATTGCTTATAATAGTCAGAACTATGACACTTTGGGAGTCGGCCTATATCAGACGCTGGATATCTATTTGGCTTCTGTCTGTTTATGAGTGTTCTTAACTGATATTGTATTACTATGTTTTTATTGCTGTAGAACTTTGTGCTCTTGAGCTGGAAAGTGCGGTACAAATAAAGATTATTATTATTATTACTTTTGTGTAGAAACTTAGTGCATAAAGTGTTTACACCTCTAAATAGGTCTATAACCCTATGAATACATTCAGGTGATGACAAGAACAAGAAAAATCTCACCATCCTTTTTCACACTGGTTGGTCTTAGGACTCTTACAAAAGCGACATTCTCTACACTGGGAGAGGAACAGTGGAATCACCTTGTCGCCTGTAATTCAAAAACAATGGTGCAATTTCAAATAAAATTTAGACCAATTTATAAAATTACAAATGAACTGTTAAACATTTGTTTCCTTAAGGTGGACCAAATGACACAAAAATGCTTTGGTCTAGCCATTGCTACCCCTAATTGAAAAGGAAGAGAAAAGCCAGCAATTAGATAAATGAAACTGAGGTTTAACAGATAGCAGGAAAATTACATACTGCCTGCCAAATTAAGCAAACACTGATGCAACACATCTGTTTAGACCATTTATTTTGCTCCATAAACACTTTGACATTTTAAACTTTTGCTTATATGAACACTGCTGAGGAATCTTTCAATCACAAATTCACAGTGTAGTGCTGACTGTCCAAGGTCAGGCACATACTATATATTGTGCATCATTTGAAAGATCTTTTTATGATGTACACTGTATTATTTGTACAGATATCATGCTGAAATTCTGTATAATAGTGGTAAATTACAGAATGACTTTGGCTTTATTGAAAGCAAAACAGCAATTTATTCTGGAGAAATGTTCAGGACTGTCCGGATGCTGTGGAACAAAAAAAAGAAAAGAAGAACTCAGCAGATATGAACTATTTTAATAATGCATCAATGTTGTTGAATCATTAATAATGAAGAAAGTAGAAGTGTAAAGCTACCATTTGCTGTGCTTCATCAGTTCAATGGCATCATTAATCTGGTCCAAAGTCATGTTGTGAGTGATAAACTCATCCACCTTCACCTTCTTGTCCAGGTAGGCTTTAACCATCTCAGACACACCATCCTTGCTCTTGAAGCCTAGGCCACAAAATAATCACAAAATAAGAGCAGAGTCTTATCTAGAATACAACTAGCTAAAGAAGTGAAGAACATGTGTCCAAAGCCATTTAGTTTCATTTAGTTTCAGAATCTAATGGATTCATTAGTCAGTGATGACTGTCATAGTCTCACCTCCAAATACGGAGCCCTTCCATGTGCGTCCACTGATGAGTTGAACGGGCCGGGTAGCAACATCATGCAGCTCTGTCCAGCCAACTATCACACTGACACCCCAAGCCCATATACAAGACTCCAAGGCACTGCGCTAAATGGAGAAACAAGCCAAAGTAAGTGAGCTTAACCACAATGGTTCCAAAGGCTGAATGGCTGATCAAATGTGGACTTTAAATATAAGATTACACTGCTTCTTAGGAAAGAATCTTAAGTATAATCAGGCTTCTGGAGCCAGTTTACATGAAATCTTAGTGTAACCCTCTTAATCCACCTCACCATGACTCCCACATTCCCAGTACATTCCAGTGAGTAGTCCACTCCTCCATTGGTCATCTCTGCCAGCACTTGGCTGATGGGTTTATCATGATCCTTAGGGTTCACAAAGTCGGTCGCACCGAACACCTTGGCCTTCTCAGACTTCTCTGGATTGATGTCAACTGCAATGATCTTCTTGGCTCCTGCAGTCTGATGGACTATAAGGCAGTCTAATTCAGTCTGTTGCACTTACAGACTAGAAGGCATTTTGAAATTTTTACATGTAATGTGATACAGAAGCATTAAAAAGACTTCTGATAAAAAGAAAGTTCAAAATGGGACAATATCATTCTGTAATCTGATGTCTAACATCTGACCCATGTTGCATGTAGAATTGTGGTGTCATCTGCATTTCTCAGTGCTCGATACAGACAGGCTAGATGTTTGCATGCTAAATATTGACTGCTGCTCCATAACCAGTGCAAATCCCACAGCCGAGGAGACAGACTTTGTCCAGAGGGGCAGTGGGGTCGATCTTTGCCACAGCAATCTGGTTAACCACTGTGTACTCGGAGAAGGTACCGGTTCCCGTAAACGACTGCACCTTCTTCCCCTTACAGGTAAACCTGCTCTCTTTCCCATCATGTTTAACATTGAACCTGAATGACATAAGATTTTGATTGAAAAAATCCTAAAACAAGTATTCACTAAATACTTGCTATATGTTTAAAAAGTTTAAATAAAAAAAAAACAAAGATCTATACTCTTTGTTAAAGACACTCACCATGACTTTTCACACTGGTTGGTTTTGGGACTCTTACAAAAGCGACATTCCCGACACTGGGAGAGGAAAATAGGAATCACCTTGTCACCTGAAAAACAAAACAATGTTACTGATTGATGAATTTTACATACACTGATTTCTAGCTATGGACCTAATCCCCCAAACTGTAATCCTTCCTGCTTGAACCTTTTTTGTTTAGCCATACATGGTATAAAACATAAAATATTTCCAACACAGTGCTTCTGAGATGTTTCAGTCTGTTCAGCACTCTTTGATCACTAGTGCCATCCTTCATTTTTATTCATAAGCTTAGCTTACTGATCGCTGCCAATGGGGCATGCTACAAGTCCAAGTGACTGAATTGTAGAACCACTCTCTGATGAACTATAAGGCAATCTAATTCAGTCTGTTGCACTTACAGACTAGAAGGCATTTTGAAATTTTTACATGTAATGTGATACAGAAGCATTAAAAAGACTTTTGATAAAAAGAAAGTTCAAAATGGGACAATATCATTCTGTAATCTGATGTCTAACATCTGACCCATGTTGCATGTAGAATTGTGGTGTCATCTGCATTTCTCAGTGCTCGATACAGACAGGCTAGATGTTTGCATGCTAAATATGTCTTGGCTTCATAGTCAACATACAGACACAAGGCTAATTCTTCTTATCTGATTGCAATTAAGTGTATTTTGCACAACTGAAAATTGACCTGGCTGAAATTCGGTGACTCCTGGCCCAATGCTCTCTACAATGCCAGCCGCCTCATGGCCGAGGACTGTTGGGAAACCATCTTTAGGCATAGCCTCCAGAAGATAGTACAGATCTGAATGGCAAACTGCAGTTGCCACAATCTGCACCAAAAATAATGAACACAATGAAAAACACTGAGGGGTCCCTTGGAGTTCATTTTCAGTGGGTTTGGCAGTATTAGCAATGTTTTCTTATTGTACTGGTATTTTTCATTACAAGATAAAATTATAACATATCACTAAGTGAATCTAATGAGCTGTATAAGGCAGGGCTCTTCATGTAACAGTATATCTCTATCACCAATGTGAGACAAAGGCTGCTGCAGAGAGGATTTAAAGAGTTACGGAGTAGAAAAACAAACATGTCTGTACATGAGCGTGTCTGGACTGTGGGAATGCCTCACCTTGATCCGGACCTCATTGGCCTGGGGTGGGGCTACCTCAATCTCTTCAATCACTAAAGGCTTGTTGGGCTCCCAGGCCACTGCAGCCTTACATTTGATGACCTAGAGAGCAATCATTAATCAGTGGGGGCTAGCTACCACCATTAAAGCTACACTAGGATGGGTTTCTTTAAAAAAGTGTCACAGTGCCACCATCCCTGAAATGCCTCAAGCACCCAAGTCATGTAGCATTTGTAATTTGAAGTGCATTTACCTGATACAGGCTGAGAGTTTTCAACTATCTTTGAAAGTTAAATATTTATATATTCAATACTGCATCTCATAAGGAAACACAAAGCAATATATTGGCAGCTTTTCACATGTACTATAAAAGGTAATATACTACATATCATGTTGCAGTTTTCTGTGCTACAATTCAAGGCAAGCGTTCATCTAGAGTATGTCTTTAATGCTAAATTGAATGATATGCAACACTGCAAAAAAAAAAAAATCATTAAGAAACCAAATGGGTTTCACATTGACCTTTTTTTATTATATGCTGACAACTATGGTTTTAGTGTTTCTGCTACAGCTGCTCGTGGCAAAAGTACATGAAAAGCAAGAGTCTAAAGTCTACACACAAGTTATTACTGCAGATTAGCTACAGTACCTTGAGTTAGTGGCCCTCATTGTCATTATCAGTAGTTATGAAAGTTGCTTCAGGCTGTGTTCCAAGTTAAACAGAGCATGAGATATTTTACTGAGGCCAAGGGGGAAAAGACAGTGATAGAAAGTGAGATACAGATGGTATTTCACCCGTAAATGTAGCTAATACATAACAATTATACATTTTATTGAGGTAAAGGAAGAAGAATTTTAACATGTATATCTGTAAACAGATATGTATATATTAAAATACTGCACACTTATACTGCTGTCAGATATAAATTTGCTATTACACATTCTAGCCACTGACTCGCCCTCACATATATACTATTGATATGAATTGCACACAATACAGGAGCACATTACAATTTCAAAAAATAGTCATGTAAATTGGTATAATGCAATCTAGTTACACTGATTCTGATGTTTTATTTGATTATTTTGTATCCCCATTTTTAGTGTGTGCTCATAAACACACAGGTGGATAAAAGAAAACAAAATACAAACAAAAATGTACAAAAACATTGCAAAATTAAGTGTTTATACTTAATTATCGTTTATACTTACCTTACCAGCTGTGGCCATTACTGCAAATATGAGTGCGCAAGAAAGAGGAGCTCAGACTGGACTGTAGCTATTTAAAGCAGAGGGGGGAGGAGCTTTGTCAAAAGCCCTTCTGTCAACATCAGAAACACCTCAAAAGCTTAAAGTGCCCGTGGCATGCTCATTTTGCTAATTTCCAGCCATTTAATGTTTAACCCTCATAACTCCAAATAGTCTGCAATTATTTCAGAATGATAAAATCAGAGAGCCTCTTCCTAAAAATGGGAGGATAGTTTGTGAAAGTGCACAACTCCTGCTGCTGCTGTTGTGTCAAAAGTGAACAGCACAACCAGCCGTGAGGGCATTAATTATTAATTATTTTGAATTTCTCCTCCATAGATAGGTAAACAACGGTGTATGTACCAATGAAAAGAAATGTGTAAACAAAGTGGGTAACTGAGAAACCCCTTATTTTAACTGGCATAATGCAGACATTGTAACTATCCTTTGGTGTTGCTGTAGCCAAATTTAATATTTAAATCACTTATTGCCTTTAAATCATTGTATTGTTTAAACAAAGTGGGTAACTGAGAAACCCCTTATTTTAACTGGCATAATGCAGACATTGTAACTATCCTTTGGTGTTGCTGTAGCCAAATTTAATATTTAAATCACTTATTGCCTTTAAATCATTGTAGCGTTTATATATATATATATATATATATATATATCCAGTGTGATACATTAACTATTCATCCATCAAAGCATTGCCCCTCTATTAGTAGGCCAGTCCCTCCCCTGTGCTAGACCCTCCTGTTTATCTTAATCATTGTTCAAAGAAAACCTTTCATGTGACTCTTAGATAATATAAGTCCCATTTGTTTAAACAGAGTACTCTTAACACGAACATTGTTTCCCATGCCAGCAGAAACCACTGTTCTAAAGGCACACTGAGTCTGTCCATGTTCCATTATTTTTAGACCACTTCCTTGAGGGATTCCATGGTTAGTTCTGCTCATTTGGTTCTGTTTACCTTTTGAGAAAACCTGGTTAATATGTTAATATGTGACAAAATTTTCAGATCAGACCTGAAAAGATTTGGATACAAGATTAACTATTTTATTGTCTTAGCAGGCAAATTTGGTATCCTGTAACTGAAGTTGTCTGTCATACAGTATGCTGTTCTGACAAATAATACACTATACATAAACTAAACATGTGCGCTGCCAGGCGCACATATGTAACAAATGAGGACTCACTGCTCACTAACTAATGTATGTGAGTCTCTCTCTCTCTCTGCTGTCACCCTTCTTAATTTAGCAGTCAGATGCTCTAAATATCTATTAATCTGATGAATGAGAACCAAACAAAAGTCTATATCTACACAATAGGGTACATTTATCTTGGGTTCACAAGGAGCTTGGTGATGGCACTCTGCACAGAGTGAGGAGAAGAAACCTCCATCCCCAATAAGGCACACACTCACGTACTTATAACAAAATGAAATGAAAAAAACATAACCAGTATCATTCAACAACAAGACCCTTACACTTCCCAAACAGACCTGAACAAGATAAGAACAATATTCCCCCAAACAGATTGTCCTAATAAGATGCAGTTCAGTCACTTCTTTTCAGTTTGACGCATCAATTGTATGATATCAGGTCAGAAGAAAGTTTTACTTCCCTTATATTTCCTTCCACCAGAAATCGAAGGATGCCGCCATCTACACCATGATGCATTCACTGGGCGTGGGAAAACAACATTAAGTCCACTGGAAAGAACTAATAAAATGTATACACACACACATATATATATATATATAAAACACCAAAATAACCTAGGTTACACATACAAGGCTGCGACAGATGCTAATCATTTAGAGGGACCAAAGTTGAGGACAGTGTAATTTTTCAGTGTCATGTCTCCTCTACTTTTTATACTGTCCAAAACAACCTAGATGAGGCTAACCGGTTGTCTGCACACAGCACAGTGAGTGCACATTTTCTGACACAAATATCCATAATTTACTTTAGGTCAGTGACTTTTAACTCAGTGGCTTTTAATTTTAACTTCACTTCTTCATTTTGGAAATACACTTATCTCTTTGGAGTTTAATATTATGAGAAGTCACTTTCCTGGCTCCCACAAACACCCGGCATTGTGGCCTTTAATTACTGTACAGTTTGAACCTGCAACATGGAGCTAGCTACAAAGCAAATTTACACATGGGCACAAAGAAGGAAAATATTAACATTGACCTGTAACAGACACAGAGAATGCTATTTCTACTTTGCTAGCATATGTAAACAATGCCATTAAGAACAAAAGGAAGCAGAAGTATGTCTGGGTTTGATTAAAATAATTGGAGTTACTTGGAACGACTGGGGGGGTTATATGAAATGTTTGGCTAAGACAGCATTCAAAATGTTTACTGGGGCTTGTTAGTGTTTGCTATGGCTTAGTTAACAGTTTGTTAACTTTTTTAACAGTTACCCTAAATTATTAAGAAAGTAAATGTTAATGAAGGGTTATGGTTGTGTGGGTGCAGTCTGTGTTTGGGGCCCAACTCAACAAAACACCTGTAGACCTGCCTTCACTCCTACACCCACAGAGAATCTACATTGGGCTTGGTGATAATACAGTTATTGACTCAGTGGGGTTGTTATTGGTGTTTTTTTCCTCTTGTTGACAATCCTGGTAGAACAGTGTCAGTGGCTGGACAACTGAGCGAACCCGGCTCTAAGATGTGATTGCCTCCCAAACCAGTTGGACCTGCCACTGCTTAACCTGAGCAAATACAAGGCAGATAATGTGTGTCAAGTCTGCCCTTTGCTTGGGTGAGGAGAGGGTTCAGGTATGCTTTATATTTAGGTCAGAGTGGAGAAAATCCCTGATATGTGCATGGTTAGGAGAATAGTGCTCCATGTAATGGTGTCTACGAAATTACTGAATGTGTATTTTATCTTAGGTTAGGGTTGGAAAGTGACATTGCTTATTGTGAGTCCCTGAAGATTTATGATGGCATGGCCTGACACCCCGCTTTTTGGGTCCAAATAATAGGTAAACAGCACTTAATTCATATACTGAGCTTCCATATGAATGCTCACTCATTCGTTGACACGTTAACTGTTTATAACTGCACTGATAGTGGTGATGAATTAATAGATCATATCTGCGGGAGAAAATTACAAAATGAAAAAATTGCTACTGAGTGCAGCTCAAACTAACCAGGACACTGACCTCACCTTTTGACACAATGTGGGGAAAAGTCAAAAATTCAAGTCAATAAAATATTAATTTAAGTAACAATTGTCACTGAAAAAATGTAACTTTTGTATACTTACTGCAAGTTAGAATATTCAAACTTTACACTACCACAGCTTTAAAGGTTTACTTTAATAAATGTGTTGTAAGCTAAAAAACCTATTGTAAACCCTGTTTTTTGTGCTTGTCTTTTTTTTTTCGTTTAGTTTATTTTTTAATCACAGGATCATTTATAATGTGCATATGTGAGACCTTTTGGCTTTGGAGATAATTGTGTTCTGAGAGACGTGGGTCACATGTTTGTGGAGAGGTACTTATCTAAAGGTCATATGAAGGTGTTGCATGAAGAATGATTAAGGTTTATCATTATATAGTATTACCCAGAAGAATGTTGGATTTTAACCACTTATTGTCTCAGTTAGCTTCTTTACCTTTATCTATAAATGATGGGGTCACTTTGGGCTTATATGAATTGATTGGTTTCAGCCACATTTTGAATATTCTGGTTATTTCATATGAGAGGTTTCTGTTTTTGTGTTTGCTCTGTGGGGTTGCAAGTAAAGCTCAAGTGAATTCCTCATCTGCATCACTCCATAACTGGGTTTATATAATGTTCTAACTGCAGCCCTCTTGAGAAACACACTGGCTTTTTGTTCTTGCCAGTTCAGAATAATTGTTCTTTTAAATGATATTTTGTCCTTGATTGTTACACCAGGTTGTGTGATTACACTTGAATGTGTCAGTCACTAAAAGTCTCATCATTATAGCTTCCTGATTCTTCACATCTTAAGACATTTGGAGAAATGTTTTTATATAATTCAAGGCACCTGGTGCTTAGCTGAAATATTGTCTCCTTCATAATATATAGCATATTGTGTAACATGCAAAAGCACATGTGCAGAACAAATCCTGGATCCCATCTTGGAAGAATAACTGTACACTGCTTGCCAAGTTAGAAAAACACGCACACTCACACATGTAGTAAATTTGAAGTAAGAATGTTCTACTGACAAGAACATTGTGTCACAATACAGTGCTGAATTTAATAACAGACTGTTTTGTAGATTCCTAAACGCTGGTCCTATGACATACAACGCAAGAAAACAAAACAAACAAACAAAAAAACTACAAATGAAAAGGCTCCATCTGCTTACACGATTTCTTTTACTTTATAAACACTTTGACATGTTTAGCATTTGCTATGAACACTATCAGCTAGGTCTCACACTCACAAGCTGCACATGTCCACTGAAAGGTGTTGATTGTTCAAGGCCTGGGACACATACTGTATTGTCCATAAATTAAAAAATCTTTTTGGCTTACTAGTCAACAGTTCTCAACAGTTATGTAAGTGTCTGGAACATCTTAGAGCCCATAGGTCAAAAAGAGGACATGCAGTATTTTACCAAGGCAGAGAAGATGGAAGGAGAAAAAGAGAAATGCTGTAAAAATAATACATTTAAATTGATTTTAGAAAATAATCCAGGTGTGTGCAAAAATATTACAATAAAACACTTAAACATGTATCATGTATCATTTTGGTATGTTACATCCAAACACTTTTCACTGTTTTGTTTGGTTAAAAAGTTGCTAAAATCATTTATATCTCACTTTATTGACTCTGGTAAATCAGAATGGATAACCTTAGCTTACTGTAGCTAACTCGTAGTGGGCATAGAGATCCAGTCGATGAGGGTGACCAACTGAAAAATGACTCTGCACCCTGAACTCAGCTCCACTGAGCTCCCAGTTTGGCAGCTAATGCTAGTTAGCAACTGTCAGCAGATAAACACTGCAGATAGATCATTTTCTGTCCTGTCTGTGCTCAAACTCAAGACTAAGGTGGAAGCTGGACATAGCTGAAGCATCTGCTACTGTATGTAGCTGTATGGGATAAGCTTTTTTTGTATAAATTACCTTACAGATGTACATAGTGTATACATCTATGGACAGTAACAAGTGTGATGCCCCTAAAATGGTGCATTTATCCTAAATTCAATACAGTGTCACAACTTCACATTCTCTCTAAATCACGTTATGTCATGTCACATTACTTACTCCTTTCCTTGTGTCATAATTAATATGGTCGCTAGATGTTGCCAAATGAAACATTTTGTAATAACCTGGCACAAATGATGTTTACTGTTATATTTTACAAGAAGACAGTCTATACAACTTGGCTAGTCTGAGTGAAACTGAATTAAAACTTTTTGGCAAGAGCACTCTTGTAAACACTATGCAAGATGGACTTTAGACACATGGAACAGGCAGTTCTGGAGAGAGATACACTGTTCTTTTGACACACAACACAACAAAAGCACAACACATCTGTTTAGGCCATTTATTTAACTCCATAAACACTGTGACATGTTTAGGTTTTCAGGCATGTATACAGTATTGTGCATCAATAGAAAGATCTGTTTATCATGCACATTGTGTGTATAAATGATTTTGCTACATTTGAAAGCAACACAGTGGTCTCATGGAGAAACACTCAGGACCGTCCGGATGCTGTGGAGCAAAAATACACACAACAGTAATGAGAAGACCTTTTAATTTTTTATCTGTAGTTATTATATCATTAATGCTTGAGAATGTATAAGCACTGTATATGAATCTACCATTTGCCGTGCTTCATCAATTCAATGGCGTCATTGATCTGGACCAAACTCATGTTGTGAGTGATAAACTCATCCAGCTTCACCTTCTTGTTCAGGTAGGCCTTAACCATTTCAGGCACACCATCCTTACTCTTAAATCCTGACACCCAGAATAAAGAATAACAAGTACAAACAGTATTATCTCAATTAAACTGGTTGAACAATTGCTGAGATCAAGCAGAAAGCTCTTCGGTTACTGCCACAGCACAGGTGGTACTGGGGATGGACTGACTTATATGCCAGAGGCTTTAATGACTGCTAAGCCTTTGGCTAAAACTAAAGGGTGCTAACCTGAGTGAGCTCAACTAACTTTGTGTTTTTGCTCTGTTTGTTCTCCACATTGCCACTCACGTGACAAAACACACAGACTAGGAAAATACTTAAGTCTCAACAAATAGTTGCTCTCTGCATTCATCTGCAGTGTGCCAAATCTTATGCATTCATATGATTAGTCTCATACTTGTTCTTAAGACTGATACATTTATGGCCTATGCTTTTGCGCTCTCCTCTTTGCATTTCAAATGTTGTGGGAGTGTATGTAGTGCTTTGACCTCCAGTTCTAATACCTTGCCTGTTTCCAGTTAAGCAAAATGTGTAACTTATCAAATATTGAGCCACAAATAAATCCAAATGAAGTGTAAATATAATCTAAAAAGTGTCCAAATATATCAGCGGAAGAGTGATTTACATGACTATTGTTGTGTTCCGCAATTCAAGCCATTACAACTCCGTATAGATCTTTCACAGCTTGATCCTTCACCAAATAAACTGTTGCCAATCTAGTTTGCTAAATAATACATTTGACTACGACTGATAGCCATTTCTGAACTGTTAGTTAGTAAATCTTGCTGGCACTGCAAACCCATGGATGAGTAGAACAGCAACTACAGTAGCAAGCAACTAGAAACGGGTATGCCTGTCACAATTGAAACCGGAAGTCAGCGAACTACAGTCAGGCACAGAGCCTATTAGCATGCGGAAGTGCTTATCCAAAACTGGTCCTGTGTGTCGGCAGGCTGTTTTGCAAATGCCTGGAATGGATCAGCAGCTGCAGTTTAGTATAAGCAGCTTACCTCGGTGCTCTGTGTAATGTGACTTCATTGTGAGAAGTTGATAATGTCTTTACCTAGTTTTGACTTTTCTAAAGTTTCACAGATTGTGCATAGTGACTTCCATAGCCTGCTATAGTTGATGTCTTTGTTGTATAGGGAGACCTGTTGATGCCATTTCACTCTGTGTGCACCCTGCTCATTGTTTGGAGTTGCTGAGTGGCAAACTGATAGGAAAGCCTTATGTAGTCTTATTTTGTCAATCTTGTATATTCTTAAGCCTGAGTTTGGTTGGTCTTTTTGTTCTTTTTTGTAATTATTTGGTTTTGATCTATTGTTTCCTGCACTATTGTATTGACCTAGTCTTTTTCTGTCTAAAAACCCATTCATGTACAATAAATCCTGCAGACCCTAACTATTCCATCTAGTCGTAACGTTGCTTCCTTTATCTTTGGTAAAGTGAACGTAACAACAAATAACTTGTGACTGGGACAGTTACAGAAGTGTTTTAAATAGTGGGGAAAGTCATATTTGTCTGACATGCATCTCACCTCCAAAGGAGGAGCCCTTCCATGTGCGTCCACTGATGAGTTTAATGGGTCGGGCAGCAAAGTCATACAGGTCTGTCCAGCCAACTATCACACTGACACCCCAAGCCCATATACAAGACTCCAAGGCACTGCGCTAAATGGAGAAACAAGCCAAAGTAAGTGAGCTTAACCACAATGGTTCCAAAGGCTGAATGGCTGATCAAATGTGGACTTTAAATATAAGATTACACTGCTTCTTAGGAAAGAATCTTAAATATAATCAGCCTTCTGGAGCCAGTTTACATGAAATCTTAGTGTAACCCTCTTAATCCACCTCACCATGACTCCCACATTCCCAGTACATTCCAGTGAGTAGTCCACTCCTCCATTGGTCATCTCTGTCAGCACTTGGCTGATGGGTTTATCATGATCCTTAGGGTTCACAAAGTCGGTCGCACCGAACACCTTGGCCTTCTCAAACTTCTCTGGATTGATGTCAACTGCAATGATCTTCTTGGCTCCTGCAGCCTTGCAGCCCATGACTGCAGACAAACCTACAGCTCCCAGGCCAAACACAGCACATGTGGAGCCTGGTTCCACCTAAAGTGACAAAGACACCACATAGTACTTTAGGCTGGACTACTTAATACTTAATAAAAATCAATCGGGAGTTTTGTATCTCATAACACTCATAATTACTCTTTTATGAAGCTTTCTGTTTCGGGGAATTAATTGATAGAATTTCTCTCTTAAGTCACCAAAAGTGCCAAATTATAGGGACAGAACATAAAATGCCCCATATTGTTGTTGCAGTGTGGGGGGAATTAATTGATAGAATTTCTCCCTTAAGTCACCAAAAGTGCCAAATTATAGGGACAGAACATAAAATGCCCCATATTGTTGTTGCAGTGTGGTATTAATCAGCATACACACCTTAGCAGTATTGACTGCTGCTCCATAACCAGTGCAAATCCCACAGCCGAGGAGACAGACTTTGTCCAGAGGGGCAGCGGGGTCGATCTTTGCCACAGCAATCTGGTTAACCACTGTGTACTCGGAGAAGGTACTGGTTCCCATAAACTGCAGCACCTTCTTCCCCTTACAGGTAAACCTGCTCTCTTTCCCATCGTGTTGAACACTGAACCTGAATGACATAAGATTTTGATTGAAAAAAATCCTAAAACAAGTATTCACTAAATACTTGCTATATGTAAACCTGGTGTCTTCCAATGCCATCACGTCATAACGATCAACAGCCCTAAACAGACAATTTATTAAAATAAAAATACACGGGTTTGTCTTATGTAAATGAAACTGCATAAACAACATGTTAGCATATTTTTATTAAATTACTATCTTGTTTGTACATATTCAGTGTTTACAGTAAGGTTTAGTTAATGTTTAGTAAAGTATGGTATCAGCCACCTCTTGTGAGCTTTTATGGGGTTGAGAAAAAGGTGAAGAGAAGAAGAAAGAAAAGAAAGAAAAATGGGTAAAGCAGAAGTATAATGGCTTGACTGATCTGTGTTCAGACTTCCCTAATGTTATCAGGATAACAAATGTTGGACTGATTTATTCCATGTCACACAGCCCACATTGCTTATAATAGTCAGAACTATGACACTTTGGGAGTCGGCCTATATCAGACGCTGGATATCTATTTGGCTTCTGTCTGTTTATGAGTGTTCTTAACTGATATTGTATTACTATGTTTTTATTGCTGTAGAACTTTGTGCTCTTGAGCTGGAAAGTGCGGTACAAATAAAGATTATTATTATTATTACTTTTGTGTAGAAACTTAGTGCATAAAGTGTTTACACCTCTAAATAGGTCTATAACCCTATGAATAGATTCAGGTGATGACAAGAACAAGAAAAATCTCACCATCCTTTTTCACACTGGTTGGTCTTAGGACTCTTACAAAAGCGACATTCTCTACACTGGGAGGTGAACATTGGAATCACCTTGTCGCCTGTAATTCAAAAACAATGGTGCAATTTCAAATAAAATTTAGACCAATTTATAAAATTACAAATGAACTGTTAAACATTTGTTTCCTTAAGGTGGACCAAATGACACAAAAATGCTTTGGTCTAGCCATTGCTACCCCTAATTGAAAAGGAAGAGAAAAGCCAGCAATTAGATAAATGAAACTGAGGTTTAACAGACCTGGCTGAAATTCAGTGACTCCAGGCCCGACACTCTCAACGATACCAGCTCCCTCATGTCCAAGGACAGCTGGGAAGCCATCTTTATGCATACCCTCAAACAGGTGGTACAGGTCTGTATGACACAACCCAGTCGCCACAATCTGCACCGAAGACAATGATGACATAATGAAATTACTGATGCTTCTTTTATTCAAACAGTTGAGTAGCGGGCTTTTTTTAAATAGCTTTGTTGGGAGTCCAGAGTTTGCTAAACCCCCATGCCAGGACTCTTTTTATTTAAGTGTCTTCTACTGGGACAGTCAGCTGGTGAGGGTGCCATTTTTTTGCTTGGAACATGTAGCTTTAGCCACAGTTATTCAACACTATCATGTGCTGTATGTATCAGCTGCATATTTAAGAGTCCTTTACAGGGTTCTTGCTGTAAAATAAGTGAGAGAAAGATTAAAATGACAACCAAAGACAGTTTTCAGTTAACTCATGCTGCTAACATTACACTAATTAACTATTTTTACTAGCTAGCTACTGCTGATAAAATCTGTGACAGAGATCAAACATGAAAAGTCTGCTTCTGCCTACCTCTGACTAAATTCAATGACCTGTTGTTTCAGAAACAAAGAACTTTGAATGGCACATCTGTCATCACAGAATGCACTGCACACGACCCTTGTTTTTCCTCAATAATGTGAACATGTCCTCAGGTGTTCCTTTACAGAGAGTCTGGTAGCACTAGTATCTTTTCATTTTATATTGAGATACAGCATATGATTAAATATTGATATTAAAAATATCACATATGGAGCTTCAGACCTGTATTTAGGCTAAGTATGAAATGAGTGGAGAGCCACTGCATATCCAGAAGGTTAGTGAAGTCCTTAAAATCAGTCTTCCCTTTTCATGTAACAGTATATCTCTGTCACCAGTGTGAGACAAAGGCTGCTGCAGACAGGATTTAAAGAATTGCAGAGCAGAAAAACAAATTTATCTGTACATGTGGGTGTCTTGACTGTGGGCATGCCTCACCTTGATGCGGACCTCATTAGCCTGGGGTGGGGCTACCTCAATCTCTTCAATCACCAAAGGCTTGTTGGGCTCCCAGGCCACTGCAGCCTTGCACCTGATGACCTAGAGAGCAATCACATCATCATAAAATCACACTGCTGGGTGCTGCCTCAGGTAAACTATGCTAGAAAGGGTTTCTGGAAGGGCACAAAAAGGCAACTTTTCAGGTACCCACTCAAGCAATGTGTAATTTCAAGTGCAGTTGCCACAGACTGACACAAGCTAAGAACTTTCAAGTATCTCTTTGAATTTTAGTATGACTAGTTGAGCAATGGGTAAAATATATTGATTTCAAGGTAAGCAGTCACCTACAGGTGTCATACTGACTTACTGTATTTTCCACTGTGCATTTCTTAGATTACATGCATTTACAATAGAGAACAGTGGTTTCATTGTCACTGACATAGCTTCTCCTGGAAAATGCCAACATTACATGAAAAGCACGAGTTAAAGAACACACAAATTATTTGGTCAATAACTGATATAAGGTTGGCAAATTTAGTATCACTGAGTAAACCACTGAGTAAATCAGTTGGTATAAATGAAGTGGTCTGCTATGAAATGCTTATTCCATTGTGGTTGTACAATGGATTCTTGGAATTCCACCATTATCTTTTTTTTTTTTGCTTACTACCCCATTCAGCTTTGCCAAAATCCACAGTTGCACAATATTTGTCTGGATAGTTTCAGACTGTGTGCCATGTCAAACCTGGACATGCAGCATTTCACTGAGGCAAAAAAGAGATCAGAGATTGCAATTTGATTTTACTATTCTATATTTTTATTGCAGTGAAAATAATTCTAAGTTGATTTAGTGAAAGCAAACATGCATGTGCAAAGCAGTACATTAAAACTCTGCACATGAGAGCACTGAAATGTATTTATAGTATCATGCATCAGCTTGGTACAGTATGTTACACTCAGCCAAACCTCAGGACTTTATGCACAAACATAAAATGCATTTCAATCTGAAAACATTTTATAATCATTTGAGAACCTCATAATGACCAAATAAAATGTCAAATGTGAAAGTAATTTTCGAATGTTTTATTACTGATTATACGTGTACAGTACTTGTACACCACTACACATATTGAATTATGTACCTACCTTTCCAGTTGTGGCCATTTTTGCAAAAAAGATCACAAAGTCACAAAATGAGTGAGGCGTTGAGAAAGAAGAAAGAATGCTGCAGAATGGGGGAGTAAGAAGGAGAGTACTTACGCTTAAGGTTTAAATACTGCTGCAAGAAAAAAATCATTACACAACAATTCAGGGTGGGGACTTTGCAAGTTTTTCATATGGCATTGGCTATTGATAACAAAAAGTGGCAACAAACAAACAAAAACCTTCTTGAGCCATGCAATCAGTTACTGATACTCAACTTTTTTAAAATCTCAAAACATGTTGGCTTCTTGAGAAAGAAGTTGCGGTTTTGGCTTTATCTTTTCTTCAAAGCTTCCCTGAGCAGTTTGCTTCCACAGTACATGATGAAGATGACTGAAATTGTCAGTCAAAAGATTGTTGTGGAGAGTTTCACTCGTTATGTTGTAAATTACACTCAAATAGGTTGAGAATTCAAATGTTTACAATGACAGAAAACCAACACACCTTAGCAGTATTGACTGCTGCTCCATAACCAGTGCAAATCCCACAGCCGAGGAGACAGACTTTGTCCAGAGGGGCAGTGGGGTCGATCTTTGCCACAGCAATCTGGTTAACCACTGTGTACTCGGAGAAGGTACTGGTTCCCAAAAACTGCAGCACCTTCTTCCCCTTACAGGTGAACCTGGTGTCTTCCAATGCCATCACGTCATAACGATCAACAGCCCTAAACAGACAATTTATTAAAATAAAAATACACGGGTTTGTCTTATGTAAATGAAACTGCATAAACAACATGTTAGCATATTTTTATTAAATTACTATCTTGTTTGTACATATTCAGTGTTTACAGTAAGGTTTAGTTAATGTTTAGTAAAGTATGGTATCAGCCACCTCTTGTGAGCTTTTATGGGGTTGAGAAAAAGGTGAAGAGAAGAAGAAAGAAAAGAAAGAAAAATGGGTAAAGCAGAAGTATAATGGCTTGACTGATCTGTGTTCAGACTTCCCTAATGTTATCAGGATAACAAATGTTGGACTGATTTATTCCATGTCACACAGCCCACATTGCTTATAATAGTCAGAACTATGACACTTCGGGAGTCGGCCTATATCAGACGCTGGATATCTATTTGGCTTCTGTCTGTTTATGAGTGTTCTTAACTGATATTGTATTACTATGTTTTTATTGCTGTAGAACTTTGTGCTCTTGAGCTGGAAAGTGCGGTACAAATAAAGATTATTATTATTATTACTTTTGTGTAGAAACTTAGTGCATAAAGTGTTTACACCTCTAAATAGGTCTATAACCCTATGAATAGATTCAGGTGATGACAAGAACAAGAAAAATCTCACCATCCTTTTTCACACTGGTTGGTCTTAGGACTCTTACAAAAGCGACATTCTCTACACTGGGAGAGGAACAGTGGAATCACCTTGTCGCCTGTAATTCAAAAACAATGGTGCAATTTCAAATAAAATTTAGACCAATTTATAAAATTACAAATGAACTGTTAAACATTTGTTTCCTTAAGGTGGACCAAATGACACAAAAATGCTTTGGTCTAGCCATTGCTACCCCTAATTGAAAAGGAAGAGAAAAGCCAGCAATTAGATAAATGAAACTGAGGTTTAACAGACCTGGCTGAAATTCAGTGACTCCAGGCCCGACACTCTCAACGATACCAGCTCCCTCATGTCCAAGGACAGCTGGGAAGCCATCTTTATGCATACCCTCAAACAGGTGGTACAGGTCTGTATGGCACAACCCAGTCGCCACAATCTGCACCGAAGACAATGATGACATAATGAAATTACTGATGCTTCTTTTATTCAAACAGTTGGGTAGCGGGCTTTTTTTATAGCTTTGTTGGGAGTCCAGAGTTTGCTAAACCCCCATGCCAGGACTCTCTTTATTTAAGTGTCTTCTACTGGGACAGTCAGCTGGTGAGGGTGCCATTTTTTTGCTTGGAACATGTAGCTTTAGCCACAGTTATTCAACACTATCATGTGCTGTATGTATCAGCTGCATATTTAAGAGTCCTTTACAGGGTTCTTGCTGTAAAATAAGTGAGAGAAAGATTAAAATGACAACCAAAGACAGTTTTCAGTTAACTCATGCTGCTAACATTACACTAATTAACTATTTTTACTAGCTAGCTACTGCTGATAAAATCTGTGACAGAGATCAAACATGAAAAGTCTGCTTCTGCCTACCTCTGACTAAATTCAATGACCTGTTGTTTCAGAAACAAAGAACTTTGAATGGCACATCTGTCATCACAGAATGCACTGCACACGACCCTTGTTTTTCCTCAATAATGTGAACATGTCCTCAGGTGTTCCTTTACAGAGAGTCTGGTAGCACTAGTATCTTTTCATTTTATATTGAGATACAGCATATGATTAAATATTGATATTAAAAATATCACATATGGAGCTTCAGACCTGTATTTAGGCTAAGTATGAAATGAGTGGAGAGCCACTGCATATCCAGAAGGTTAGTGAAGTCCTTAAAATCAGTCTTCCCTTTTCATGTAACAGTATATCTCTGTCACCAGTGTGAGACAAAGGCTGCTGCAGACAGGATTTAAAGAATTGCAGAGCAGAAAAACAAATTTATCTGTACATGTGGGTGTCTTGACTGTGGGCATGCCTCACCTTGATGCGGACCTCATTAGCCTGGGGTGGGGCTACCTCAATCTCTTCAATCACCAAAGGCTTGTTGGGCTCCCAGGCCACTGCAGCCTTGCACCTGATGACCTAGAGAGCAATCACATCATCATAAAATCACACTGCTGGGTGCTGCCTCAGGTAAACTATGCTAGAAAGGGTTTCTGGAAGGGCACAAAAAGGCAACTTTTCAGGTACCCACTCAAGCAATGTGTAATTTCAAGTGCAGTTGCCACAGACTGACACAAGCTAAGAACTTTCAAGTATCTCTTTGAATTTTAGTATGACTAGTTGAGCAATGGGTAAAATATGTTGATTTCAAGGTAAGCAGTCACCTACAGGTGTCATACTGACTTACTGTATTTTCCACTGTGCATTTCTTAGATTACATGCATTTACAATAGAGAACAGTGGTTTCCTTGTCACTGACATAGCTTCTCCTGGAAAATGCCAACATCACATGAAAAGCACGAGTTAAAGAACACACAAATTATTTGGTCAATAACTGATATAAAGTTGGCAAATTTAGTATCACTGAGTAAATCAGTTGGTATCAATGAAGTGGTCTGCTATGAAATGCTTATTCCATTGTGGTTGCGCAATGGATTCTTGGAATTCCACCATTATCTTTTTTTTTTTTTGCTTACTACCCCATTCAGCTTTGCCAAAGTCCACAGTTGCACAATATTTGTCTGGATAGTTTCAGACTGTGTGCCATGTCAAACCTGGACATGCAGCATTTCACTGAGGCAAAAAAGAGATCAGAGATTGCAATTTGATTTTACTATTCTATATTTTTATTGCAGTGAAAATAATTCTAAGTTGATTTAGTGAAAGCAAACATGCATGTGCAAAGCATTACATTAAAACTTTGCACATGAGAGCACTGAAATGTATTTATAGTATCATGCATCAGCTTGGTACAGTATGTTATACTCAGCCAAACCTCAGGACTTGATGCACAAACATAAAATGCATTTCAATCTGAAAACATTTTATAATCATTTGAGAACCTCATAATGACCAAATAAAATGTCAAATGTGAAAGTAATTTTCGAATGTTTTATTACTGATTATACGTGTACAGTACTTGTACACCACTACACATATTGAATTATGTACCTACCTTTCCAGTTGTGGCCATTTTTGCAAAAAAGATCCCAAAGTCACAAAATGAGTGAGGCGTTGAGAAAGAAGAAAGAATGGTGCAGAACGGGAGAGTGAGAAGGAGAGTACTTACCCTTGAGGTTTAAATACTGCTGCAAGAAAAGAATCATTACACAACCATTCAGGGTGGGGACATTGCAAGTTTTTCATATGGCATTGGCTATTGATAACAAAAAGTGGAAACAAACAAACAAAAACCTTCTTGAGCCATGCAATCAGTTACTGATTCTCAACTTTTTAAAAATCTCAAAACATGTTGGCTTCATGAGAAAGAAGTTGCGGTTTTGGCTTTATCTTTTCTTCAAAGCTTCCCTGAGCAGTTTGTTTCAACAAACTGCCTTGAAGACACAAGCATGAAAGTATCAGGAACTGGTTAAAGTTTGTTTAGGTTGTCTGCCGCTAATTTTTAACATGTCTGGCTAACTGCATTACTTTCAACAAAAACGGCCTAGTATTATTTCCAAGAGTAATAGTTTACCTCATTATTTGAAAGGTTACAGGCCATATTTAAAAAAAAAAGTTCATGTCTAGTAACTTTACAGTGTATATGCCAGTCCCACTGGATCACAGTTTAGAGTAACTTTAGTATCTGTCCTGCTTTTTTACTGAATTTGGAAAGTTAACACAGAAGCCATTGTTACCTGAGATGATGTTACATTTTTCAAGCACACATATCCTCAAAATGAAAGACGTTTGTTGCGAGCTAACATTAACCCTTATGGGTTGCTTTAATAAACTGACCTTATTAGTTGCGAAAGCCAAAAAATGGCCTCTTCCAAAACCAGCTCTAAAAATTTCATAAATTCATATTTTTTTCCACTTTAAACTAGCCAATCTTTTAAAACTACTTCTGCCTGAAATATAAATATCAAATATGAATGATATTTTTGGAGTTTTTAACCCTTTAAAGGCCAGTATGTTTACATAACCCCACTGTTTTCTATGAGAAAAAAACAAAAAACTAAAATAATTTCCAAAAAATACATTTCAACCAGAATTTGATTATTATTATTATTATTAGACCCTAAGATGGGTCAATGATTAGCAGCAACAGTGATTTTGATGCATTGTTTTGTTTTTTGCAGTGGCAGATTTACACAGAAACCATCCAGTTTTGCACTACCGACATAAATCCCCTACATCCCTAGATAGATGAATACTGAAACACAGTGACACAGAGAAAGAGATAACATATGTCTGTGTAGAGGAAACAAATTCCTTGTGTGTGTAACATACAAATAAAGGTTATTAACCTTCTCCCCTGTCTCTGGGCCAGAGTGCTCACTCAAGCAGAGCAAATGGTCACAGTGGACTGGGGGAAGGCAGCTTGCATGTGCTCACCACATTTGCTGTTGTCATCAGTGACAAAATCGGACTCCTTCCTTGACATTTCACGGGAGAGAAGCCTGCACCTGCAGTCTGGGCTGACTCATGTCTGCAAGCAGTGCGTCCAACGTATAATGTAGATTTTATGCACTGGCGCCGAGAGATTGTTGTTGTGGGAACACCTCTTGTGTGACATCATAGCACAGAAAATGCTCCCTGCTGATTTCACATTCCAGAAGCTAATGGTTGATTCATTTTTTTGACTTGCAAATGCTGGATAAAATTAGCAGCTCCACGAAAGCCGTCATTATGCAATATGTGCGTGTACGTGAACGTATTTACGTACATTTACACACACACACACACACACACACACACACACACACACGCACATGCACACAAGCTGCATGGTATAACATGGATAAAGATACACACTATCATTTGCAAAAAACAGTGAAAAAGTGTGGAAATGTGGCTGAATTTTGCTGCAGGGTTTGAAAATGGTTTTGTGTCACCATTTGCTGGACAACTATAAAAATTCCAAGTTGGCACCCAGTAATTCAAAATGCATTTCTAACATCGTGCATTGCAGTACTCTATTTAAATTTGGAATCTAAATGGTTTTCAATGTGGCAATTTTTGCCACTAGCACCTCGAAGGTGCAGTTATATTGGTTCTTAGCCATTTTAAGCAAATTTAAGGAAGTAAGACCACAATTTTTACACTTTTTAAAAATAAATATCCTGTGGCAAATTTGAGCTACATTCATTCAACACTGCCAAAATGGCGTGAAATTTTAAAGCGAGAAAATCACTAGAGGCCGCATTAGGCCACTAACAACTCATAAGGGTTTTTAAAAGAACAGCATATCAGTCTAAGATATTATTATAGCTTACAGTATACTTGTAACACTATGTTAAGGTTTGTAGACTTGCTTCCTGTTTTGTGCTTTTATTTCATTGTATTTCCTGTTCGTGTGCCAGTTCACCTGTCCCAGCTGTACTTTGGTTCCTGATTACTGTTTGTCTTCACCTGGTCTCTAGCCCATATATTCTCCTCCCTTCCCTCAGTCTCTTGCTGGTTCGTCTGCCGTGTATACTTTGCTTGTCCCAGTCATCTGTTCTCCATGTCCTGGACATTTTTCCCCATCTTGCCTCTGAGTTTGGTGTTGGTTTCTCTGTCTACTCTTGAGGAGAGTTGTAAGTTCAGTTAAGCTAGAATGCTCCCTGGTTGATCTTCAGTTATTTGTTAGTTTGGTATTTTTTAGTCCCACCAGGTCGATAGTCCCTGTTTATTGTTCCCTGAATAAACCACATAGACTTTAAACCTGCGTCATGTCTGCATTTTGATCCTGCCTAGCCTTAAACCTGACAGTATGAACCAGCCAGTGATGGGCCCAGCAGACCATCCTCGTGAGTTGGGGGGGCTTGCTAATTTAAGGGAGCTCCTGCAGCAGTTATATTGTCAGCATGAGGGGGACACATCCCTGGCCAAATCCAGCATCCTGTTGAAGCATGGGGTTCAACTGCTGGAGGACTATTCTCATTTGAGGAGTCTTCCCGACTTTAGGTGCCTGAGAGAAGCTACTTTTAGAAAGTTGTGAGAACCCCTTTGCCTGAACTTCCTCCATCCCCAGGTAACCCCTAGGCCCGCAGCTGCTAGCTCCCAGCCAACCCCTGTTCCGGTGTCCTGATCTTGCAGGAACAGTCCTGGGGCCAGGTCCGCTCAGACAACTCCCTCATCAGTTAGGATTGGTGTAGTGTCAGTGACCCCCATGCCAGAATACTCCCAATATAGTCTGGCTCCTGACCTTGCGCTCTCACCTTTTGGTGGAACTCGGTTAGCCATTTGCCCTGGAGGTTTTGGGAAACAGCAAACCAGGAAAAAGGGCCATTCTCAGCCTGTTCCCCAGCCAGCTCTGCCACTGCAGCCCCTGCCTGTTCCACAGCTGCAGCCTCAGCCCCAGCCTGCTCCACAGCAGCCAACCTTTGTCTCACCCTGACCCCAAGCTGCAGCCTTCATCTCCCCAAGTGCAAGAGGATGAAATCACTGTGTGCGCACCTCCACTCCGGTGCGCTCACGAGATCATCCCCACCGTGTGTTCAGCTCTCCGTCCATGTGCCGATGAAGACGCCAGCACTGAGGTTCCAGAGCTTGTCCCTGAGTGGGGTCGGCCAAACTGCTGATGCCACCTCCAAGTCCGTTCCTGAGCAGGTCAGCTGGACCGCCAAAGCCGCCTCCGAGTTGTTCCTGTCCCTGTTCCCTGGCTAGGAAGTGCGGGCATCACTGTTGAGTTGATGGTTCTCTGGTGTGCCAAGGAGAGTGTCCCTGCTGAGGCTCCTTTCCCTCTGCATGCCAACAAACGCGTCCTTGCTGAGCCCCCAACTACTCAGTGTGCCGACAAGAATGCACCTGCCGGTTCCTGACTGAGTGGGTTGGCTGGTACGCCGCCGCCTCTGTCCCCGAGCGGGTTGGCAGGCATGCTGATGCTGTTACTGTTCCTATCTCTAAGCGGGTCGGCCGGCACGGCTCTGTTCCTGTCTCTGAGTGGGTCGGCCCTGTTACATTTATTTAATTAAGCATGATGGACAAGGATGAGATGCTGTGGACTTTAACCGTCTGAGGCCTGTTGGCCAGAAAGTCTAGGACCCAATTGCAAAGGGGTGACTTTACACCAGGCAACAGGTGTTTGTAGACTAGTGTCTGTGGGATGATTGTATTAAATGCAGAACTGAAGTCCAGGAAGAGCAGCCTGACATACTAGGTGTCTCTGTTCTCCAGGTGGATGAGAGCACTGTGGATAACAGAGGACACTGCATCCGACGTAGACCAATTCTTCCTGTAGGCGCACTGATGGGTGTCCACAGTGGTGCTAACAGTGTTTTAATGTGAGCCATGACGAGCTGTTCAAAGCACTTCATGACTATTGGGGTGATAGCCACTGGATGATAGTCATTCATGACTGCAAAATATGACAGTGAAGATTGTCAGTAAAGTCACGTTAGCCTACGTCTGTTTGAGCAGTCCAAACATAAGATAAATAATTGTTAATAAGATAATGGTTTACTAGTGCTGCCATACAGAAAATGGCAAAAAAAGAGCAAGTTATGAATGAATTGTATTTAGACTCTCAGGATGCCAAGACCTGGGGGTATTGCACAAAACCAAGATAAGGGGATTAAGATGGATTTTCCAGTTATCCTGGCTAAATTTTGCCTTGACCTGGTTGCATGAAAGAAGGTTAAATTAAACCCAGTCAAGTTACCATGGAGATTTATTCTGGTTTATTAAACCAGGATTTTCCAGTTATGAAGACCAAAGATTACTGTCAATTCACTATATGTGCAGGACATACAGAAAATCGAAATACCGTTTCTCTCTCACCTAGTATTGAATGCCATACCATTTAAGAAACAAAAATAGAATAAAAGTAGGAGAAAAATTGAATAAAAAACTAAATTAATTAGGCTAAAACTAAATGGTAACTAAATCAGTGACAGTAGTGCAAATAATAACCAGAAGATTGTCAGATGGTTAGCATCACCAGGGGCGTTAGTGAGGTGCATAATAGTTATCCAGGCTTAAAAAATAGAATAAAAAACTAAATTAAAGTAAATTAGGCTAAAACTAAATGGTATCTAAATCAGTGACAGTAGTGCAAATAATAACCAGAAGATTGTCAGATGGTTAGCATCACAAGGGGCGTCAGTGAGG